TGATTTTTAACTTGTTAGTAAACATTGAAAGTGCTGTTAAAAATAGCTCTGGGTTTTGCTTCCTCTCTGAATAGTCCCCTTTTCACAGCTATGCTCTCACCGCCTGGAAATCTCACTCTCTGAACACACTGTAGCTGCATATAGCTTTCGGTCTGGCCGTGGGGCTTTTGCTGTCTCTCTCTAACTACATATGCATCAGAGGGATACACTTACTGAGTGCCACATGTGTGCCTCTAATCAACATACGTTGGTCTGTTTCTGATGCGCTTTCTGAAACTTTTCAAGAGTTTCTTGAAACAGAGGCTGCCCGCTCCTTTCATGGGCCATTGGGTCTTCGCAGTGCTCAGAATAGTACGGAGAGAATTTCTTCAAATGTTCTGCAGGAAGAAAAGCGTTAGCGAATGCTTTTATTTTGAAGGGTGTTACAGAAGCATTTCAAAGTCCAGCTGTGCTGAAGGAGAGGGGGGAAAAATATCTCCAAATAACCCTAGATCCCTTCACTAGGAGACATTTAGGGCCTTAAATTTAATGGAAGGGTTTTTAAACTGTTTCTTCTTTCCTTACATCATTTATGAGTTTTTGAGACTGACTTTGACTTTGACCGATCCCTCTTCCCATGTTTCTTCCTTGAAACCTCTTCCTGAAGCTTCACCAGCCAGAGAAGTGCTATCGTTTATTTATTACAACCCTTACTGCTCTGCTGTGGGATTCCAGATCCTTGTCACCTGAACTGTTGTCTGTTGTGTATTCCTCCCTCCCTCCTTCCTCCCCCCAGTGCAGGCTTCTCAGGGCATGGACCACATCCTCTTTGTGTCCTCTACACAGGGCCGGCTCCAGCATTTCTACCGCCCCAAACAAACAAACAAAAAGCCGCGATCGGCGGTGGCAGTTCAGCAGCAGGTCCTTCGCTCCTAGAGGGAGTGAGGGACCTGCCGCCCCCGAATTGCCGCAGGTGTTGCCCCTCTCCCTTGGCCACTCCAAGCACCTTCTTGTTAAACTGGTGCCTGGAGCCGGCCCTGCCTCTATAGCACTGAGCAAGCAGTTGGCACTTAACAAATACACAGTGTATGAGTGTGAATTTTATACCACTCTGGCAGCATAAAGGGGCCTTAAAATGGGTGGAAATATCCCCTAGCCCCAAAATATCCGCGAAATGCCCCTTGTACAGAGGACCTCCTTTGAATAGTGTGGAGAGAGCACCAGGGCCCCTGGCTCCAACCCCTGGCGTAGGGGGATGTCAGAGGCATCACTGATGCATACTGCATTACACCTATTCTCTGCATCCTGGGGCTCATAGAAAGCTACATTCGAGCCGTCTCAAGGCAAGGGATAGCTAGGCTCCTGTAGGGCCCTAGGATATGGGGAGTACAAAGGTGGTTTAAAGCCACTCTTGTGCCCTTGCCCCAAGTGCAAGAATGGAGCAACTGGGAAACAAGCCCTGAGATTTTTATCCATCCTCGGTCGGGTGCACTCCCATCGACGTTGGCAGGAACGTGTCTTGAGAAGGACCTCAGATTTGGCTTGAATTACACCATGGTTTTGTCTTAATTTCCCTCTGATTCTGTTTCCTATTATGGTACTTTGTCTCCAGTTGGATGGGCAGAAAAATGGCCTCTTGCCAGTCCATTGCTGAGATCTGCTTACGAGGAGAGGTATATTGGTAGCATATTGCTCAGCTGATTCTATTTCGGGACTTGCAGCAAATTACCCCTTTTTCCAATATCTCTTTATTGAGTTTAGTTTCTTTGAATCTCTCCAGGTAGATCCACACAAAGTAGCAGACAAATTGAAAAGGTCAGAAATGAGAAATGTCAGATCCCGGGCAAGGTGGATCAAAGGCAACAGTCCCTCTGATCAGAAATAGGAAAGGTTTTACAAGTGTGGGAGCAGGTCCTCAGCTGGTGTTAATCAGCGTTGCTCTATTCCCTTTGATGTTACAGCAGCTAAAGATCTAGCTCATAAAATCATAGGCTGAATGAAAACAATGTTTGCTTCCTCAGCATGGCTCATCTCTACATGTACAATGCAGCTCCTGGCTGGGGTGTGAACTGGGGGCGGGGTGGTTTTCAAAAGCACTTATATGATTTAGGAATATAAAACCCAGTGGGGTTTTGAAAATCTCACCCCAAGTCTCAACGCCCAATGAGTCATGGGACGGCTCTCCATTATCACTAGGTAGTGGCTTTGGAATAGGAGCGCGCCCCTCCCTCCCCCATACCTCGAAATCAATCCCTGCATTTCCTGGCACAGAGAGGCTTCCAGCAGCCAGGTTTATGCCCAGAAGACAGATAACCAAAGGTTAACGTTTAACACCAAATCAGAGATCCAGGCTTTCAAACTCAGCAAGAGCCACCGCCTTGTGCAATGTCTAGTAGGCCTTGAAACTTTAATGGAGTGATTTATGGCTGGCCCCTGCAAGGGTGCCCAAGTGGGGGAGGATGCAAAGAGCCTGCATCCTCAGTGCAGCGGCTGGTCATAGTTACAGCCTTGGCGGTACAGAGGACGCTCAGGGCTAAGCTCCTCCAAAGGGAAAGGGTTAGGAGGCAGGACTGTAGTCCCATCTGTCATGCCTGTCCACACCAGCCCGAAGACTCAGGCCCAATTTCTCAAAGGTATTTAGGTGCCTAACTCTCATTGAAATAGGAACCTAGATACCTTTGAGTGTCTGGGCCCCATATGGTGCTTTAATCACAGGACCATCCTTCCCCCTCTTTTCGTAGAATTGTAGGACTGGAAGGGACCTTGAGAGGTCGTCTAGTCCAGTCCCCTGCACTCAAGGCAGGACTAAGTGTTATCTAGACCATTCCTGATAAGTGTGTGTCTGACCTGCTCTTAAAAATATCCCATCTCCTTTCCTCTGGTTTATGAGGTTTCCATTCTCCCCTCTATTCTCACAGCTTGTTTATAATATTGTGCTCTAAATGAGACCCAGACTGAAGTCTGCTCAGCCTTCTACATTCTGCTGAGGAGAATCTGGAGCCCCGTGCTGCGTACACACCTTATTTCACACAGTAATCTTTGAACAACTCCTTCGTGCTTTACTCACTGACCTTTACAGCCATGAATTCAAGCAGAACCTTCCATCCACTCCACGTGGGCTACATTCCAGCCCAGAGGCAAAAGATTCCAGTGCACATACCATCACATTCAGTAACTCTTGCGTGGTGTGGGGGTGGGTGAAAAGTCCTGGCTCTCTGGGTCTTTTGACAGTTCTTCATTGACCCGGGATGCTTTTTGCAGTTTGTTTAACTGTACCTCTGCTGTGTGTGTACGCAAAGCGACAATACAGTACTGTGTGAGGCACGTTTTCACAGAGGCCAGTGAAACCAGTAGCTCTAGGACACTGGCAGATATTGCCAGTAGATCTAACGTATTCTCCTGGAGAGGCTTCAACTACTTGAGATGATTGTGAGCCTCAGGACGAGCAAAACGAATCCTGGCAGCTGCTGCTTCACCTTTGTCCAGCTGAGTCGTGGAGGCTCTTTGATGCTACGTATCCATTTCCCTACACGTGTCACTAAAGTAGCGCAGTTAATAAGATTCATAGTGTGGTGGGTGGCTATTTTTTTTTTTCCTGATGGTAAAACATTTACTTTTTGGCATCCTCCCCAAATGTAACTGCATGTTGTAAAGCGCTCTGTGTTGCAAGATCATGATGATTTTAGCTTTCGACATTAAACATTGCAGAAATGCCCCTCCGTCCTTGCTCCTTCAAATAGCCTAATAGAGAGGCAAGCTCCCAGATCCCCAGCTAATGTAAGCTGGCACAGCTCCACTGACTTCAGTGGAATAATGCTGATTTACATCAGCTGAGAATCTGAGGCCATTATACTCACGACTTTACGGCTTCACAGAGAGCAGCACTGGTGTTCATGGAGGCTTTTAAAAGCCAAGATCTGCATCTCAAAGGTTGGTTTTGGTTGTTTGTTTATTTAAGATTTTGACTGAAACAATCCATTCACACTTTCCTTGACCTTGCTAACTGTGAAATCAAAATAGATTTGAAATACCCTGCCTATTCTGGGCTTTACTCCAGCCCTGGAATACAGGGCAACTTTGGTGAGACCTCTAAAGACCTCCCACGTAACCAAGGTAAATTTTTAACCTGGTATATGGGGATTTTAGCCTCAAGTTCCCAGGGTGATGGCATTGTGCTGGCTAAATGCCCAGGTAGTGTTTATATGCTCAGCAATGTGTGGTAAATTTAAAAAAAAATATTATTATTATTATTTATTATTTAATTTATTTATTTTTATTGAGGTAGCTCTGAGGAGCACCAGTCATGAACCAGGACCCCACTGTTCTAGGTGTTGTACAAACACAGAATAAAAAGTCAGTCCCTGCCTCAAAGAACTTACAATGAGAAAACATAGTTTTCACTTTCCCGTAACACAAAACCAACCAAACACGACTTTCCTCTCGCTTTGTTTCAAACCAATTAAATAAAATTCATACTGGCTGAGACAAAGCCTAGAGAATTTCACCCCCTTAAAATGAATGTTGTTGTTGTTATGGTATCAAACTTTACAAGTCCTATAGATACTGTAACGAACTGGCTAGGGTGTATATGTCACTACTGCACTCTACAGGATGGAATCAGAACTGCCTGAGCATTTATCTTAGGACCTATACTGGTGACAGCTAATGGAGGGTCTTTTTTTTATCTCAAGTTGTAAGAACCTGTGCTTTGAAGCTGGAGGATCAGACTTCTATCCTGTTAAGTTCTGAATAGTAGTGGTTGCATTGTAGTGACAACTGTGAAGCCCCAGGTGGCTGTGGATTCTTTGTTAGTCACCAATGCTGGTTCCAGCCACATTTTCCTCCATGACCTGCTCTAAAGTGCATGCTAGTATATTTAAGCAAAACCCATTCCTTCGGCTGCGGTGTGGTTACATGGGTTGTAAGTCAAGGCAGAGTTTATCCCAAGCATGCAAGGATAAGCATGAAATCCATGGTCACTGCAATGGGCTTTAATCTTCATTTTTTTCCTTCTGTTTCAGGTCAATGTTATGGCCGTAAGTATCTGCACTCGGGAGGTCTATCGGTCTATGAAGGAGAGAAACATTGATGATGGCCATATTATTAACATTAACAGGTGAGAGACCGGATTGTGGTAGTCACTGAAAATAGGCCTAATTTGCTGTGGGTTGGCTTTTCTTTGTTTTCTTTTGTTGCTTTACAGTGCGAAGCAACTGTCTCCCTGTCTCCACTGCTGCTTGTCGCTGGAAGTCCGTCTGTATCCAACTGGGAGTTTTTCTGTGCGTGTATGTTTTTTGGCCTGTTTTTGATACCAAAGATTCATGCAGCAGGTTGCCAGTATATGTTACTGACTAGTCCCATATTGTTTCGTGCCCTATGTAATGGGCCTGTACTGTAGCACTTCATAGCTTCTCCTTTTCCAGATAAGGTTGCTTCTTGTGCCGCTGTACACACAGTATCGGGACACAGGCTATCAATGAGCCCTCTTCTCTCCGAGGCACCCACCCTAGTAGTGCTTCATAGACAACATTCATTCATGTAAAGCCTGAATAATGGAGCTGTGTGTGGGTGAAGTGTTGGGTTGGGAAGGTGAAATTCACTCCTCCAGCCCAGGACCAAGGTACAGGCAGAGAGAACAGCTGAGCCACTTAGGAATCTGCATAAACACACGGATCCACTGGTCTCTTCCCTGGCCCAGACTCTTCGCTGGCAAATGTACGGGTAGTATGGAGAAGTCGCCTGGGAAGGGGGTCTCCATTCACAGCCGCAATGTACGGTTTACGTGTTGCAAAAGGCCTTTTATTGGCTCTCTGCACTGGGATGATACAATCCCATGTCTGGTACTAATATTGACTTCAACTGATGTTGGGCCCTGTATGTTGTCCTATTCTGTTTGTACCTACAATGACAAACATTCCTCTCACCTTCTAATAAACTCAGGCTTTTCCTACTGGAGATTTTTCCTGGTTACAACCGTTGGTGTCTATCCATCCATATAGCATCAGTACAAATCACAGCTTTTAGCTTTTTTTTTCTTGTTGACTCTCTGGTGTGGCTACACCACTGACTGGCTACCTCTGGTTAACACTCCCAGTATAGACAGAGCCTTAGTGTCATCCCATATTGAAGCCCTAGGAGCTCCGTCTTTGGGATGGGTCTGAACTTTTTCTTTTTGATTTGTTTTGGGGAACGTCAGTAGAGCCAGTTAAAAACATCGAACATTTTCATTGAAAATTTCAATTTTTAAAACATTTTGACCCCTCTATAAACTGTCAAAAGCAGGAAAGATTGTCATAAAAACGTTGCCCCCACCCCCTCAAAAAAATAAAAATAAATCCAAACTTTTCAACTAGCTCTAGAAATCAATTGTGTAAAAAGAAAAAGAAAAAATCTCACGGTGCATGATTCTCCCCATTTCATTCTATAGCTTAATATGCTCCTCCACTATTCAAAGCCCATTAGCTCATTTCCTAGCTTACAGCGGGAAAGGGGGAAATTCCATATTTACTCATCCATGTAGGATAGCTATGTTGTTTTTTCCCTCTCTCTTTGGGTTCACTACGGCAGCAATACTTCAATTTTTTTAGTATGGTACTGGTTCCTGTTTGGGACGTCTCATGCTGCTCCCTGCTCTCCTCCCATCACCCCTTTTCTTTCTGTTTTCTTCTCAGCATGAATGGCCACAGTGTCGTGCCACAGTCAGTTGTTCATTTTTACAGTGCCACCAAGTATGCTGTTACAGCACTGACGGAGGGGCTAAGACAAGAACTTAGAGAAGCCAAGACTCATATACGAGCTACAGTGAGTGGTTTTTCTCCCTGCCGTTATAATGAACAGTAGAATGCTCGCTCAGGATGTGCGTAGGAAGTTTTACCTTTGAGGCGTGTTTTGGAGGGCGAGGGTAGCACTTCTAAACCAGAGGGCCTGTTCCTGGCTCTGCCTCTGACTTGCTGTGTGCCTCAGCTTCTGGGCACCCAAACTTGAAATATCTCAGGCCTTCTTTTCAAGGGGTGTGGAGCACCTACTACTCAAACACGTTTCACGGCGCACACGCAGAGAAGTTAGATAAAAACATAAAAACTGTTACCACCAGGTTGCCAGGGAACACTGCTTTATTTCTTAGAATTCAGAATGATAACACATAAGAGCCGCAAATAAACAGAGAGTGAGAAAGCAGACTGCTCCCTAAAACAGCGCGCACAACTCACCCAACCTTACTCTAAGCTGTCTGCTGACTGACTGCTGTTAGACTCGTATCACGTGCTCCCCTACCAACCTCCCTAACCTGCAAGAAGGACCAGGGAAAATCCATGGAATTTAAAGTGACAGCGTACAGTTTTAACACAGTTTTCAGTATACCACTGAAAATCAGCACCTAATTTGTCCAAGTTAAACACCCAAAAGTTGAGGCAACCAGAATTAAGGATGGTTGTAGAAATTTAAACTCTCTATGCCACAGGTCCCTCATCTGTAAAATAACTCTTATCTACCTCACCAGGGATTGAGGAGGCTTAATTCATGTTAGTAAAGTGCTTTGAGATCCTCATAGAGATGTGAGTATAGAAATGTGAATGGACAAGAACTCGCAACGGGAGTCATGAGACCTGGGTTCTACTGCTGACTTTGTCCCTGACTCACTGAATGGCCTCAGGCGAGTCACTTAGCCCTCCCGTGCCTCGGTTTCCCTTCTGGGAAAGGGTTGGAGAACCAGACCGAGACAGGAGATAGGGATTCTGTTGGGAGAATAGCCTTTTTTGAGCTGCAGTAACTTACTGAGGAAGGAGGAAAAATATATTAAAAATGGATAATACCAGTCAGATAGTAGCTTTGCTCGAACTGTTTAGTAAGCTTGGCTCTCAGAGGTATTTTATTCAGCAGTTATACTGTATTGCAAGTTATTTTGTTATTTGCTGTGCTGATCCTTCTCTTTGTAGGGTAGGGGATATCTATCAGAGGGGATCCTACAGAGATAATTAAATCAATATCTATTCTCTTAACATATTTGTCTTTTTTTTTTTTTTAATTGAAAGGGGAGTTACAGATCCCATTAGGATGTTCTCTGTTCTTTTCCAGTGTATATCTCCAGGACTGGTGGAAACCGGATTTGCTTTTAAACTTCATGATAATGATCCAGAAAGAGCCGCTGCAACCTACGAGAGCATTAGGGTAGGGAACTGAGAAACGAATGCAGAGGAAATTTACACTGATTGCATGGCTAATGATCTCTCTCTAAGGCTTGGTCTACACTAACCCCCCAAATCGAACTAAGGTACGCAACTTCAGCTACGTGAATAACG